CTACATCTGGAAAATATATTACTACATTTGGAAAAATAACAGAGGACCAGAAAATGTTTACATAAATAAAAGAAGTCAGTAAAAATAATTTGAGATCACAAAATTTGCAGGTACAAGTAAATCAATTTCTCATAGGTGGTTACATGTTTAAATAAATGTAAACACTTCAATGCCAAATGTATTTCTTTATTCTATATACACAGAAAAAAGCCCTTCAGGACTTATTTTTTAAGAAACAAACAAGTTTTAGTTACAGATTCTGCAGTGAAAGAACCCTGGGTTTTAGTCTGAGGTAATTAAAATGAACATGTTCACAACAAGCACATGTATCAAATGAGATAAAAAACACATTTAGTCAAATATCTAGTCTCCAGCAGTGTCCAGTATGATGATGATCTGATATAATAAGAAAAGGACAAGCAATATTTTCCCAGACTATTGATTTAGCACAGGGACTTTCTGATCCAACAGACCTGCTTTGTGCTTAGTATGACCCTTAGTAGATTTATTTCCCTCCCACAGTTTTGTGTGATCACTTTTTAAACTCGTGTTGTTGAGGTAATGAACAATACCAAATACACCTAGTGAACTAGAGCCAATCTATGCATAAAATACAGGCAGAAAAATATAATACAGGTAAATGATTAATTTTGCACTTTTTTCCATAGGTTTATTTTGGCATTTCAGTCAAGTGATACACTATGACATTGTATATAAACTTTAAGATACCAGAAAGATAAAATCCTCACAAAGAAAGGTAGGAAAAACTTTTAACACCGTGGCTAGCTTAAAGACATGCAATCAGTAATGCCAGACATTGCTCTACAATGCGGAGTGTTGGATCGCATTGCAGTGCTCTGAAGATACTGACTACCTGTCACCTCCAGCAGTGAGTATGATTTATGCTTTTTGATGGAAATGATATCTGAGTGGAAGCCATTTGCTAAGAGCAATCTGAAACTAATGGCTTCAGAAGAAAAAGATCTGGTCTTTAACGTGAAGCTGCACCATGAAAGATTGGTCAGAAGAGGCCATGGTTTCAAAAAATGAGGATCTGTGATCTAATTCATACATATTGACATTAATTATAGAGGTGTCATGTTTACTAGGTTCTTAGCGTAATTGAATTAGTTTGAATAAAAATATGTCTTTAAAGACCATTAAATCTTGCTTTTGTTAGTGATACGTATACCATTTTTCCACTAGCTTTAAAAGTTAAGGCTTTAAAATATGTAGCACAAAACAGAGCTGGCAAGTTAAAATCAAGAGTAGTTAATGTATATGCGTACTAGGCAACTTAGAAGGACATTATCAAAACTGTACTAAATAGGTTGCTTTTCACCTTTATATTTGCTGCTGCTAGGTTGGCAGTGAACTCAAAGGTGGAATCTTATGTCTAGTTCCCTTAAACTGAAGCCACCTTAGTCTATCAATAAGCCTATTTTAGTTAGCAAAATATGCTCTATATGTATATGAAGTGTTTAAATTGGTGCAATTACTTATCTTGAAAACCTAAGGTAATTCTGCATTTCTGTTGTCTCACTTGGAAGAAGGGTTTTAGCGAGATGTCCAATTCAGGACATACAAAGGCATAGGCTTAACTTTAGTAACACTTCAGTTCTGCTGGTTTTTAAGTGCTAAGTGTCTGCAGTCATGAATGTCTTTAGATTGTTGCAGCTGTCTCCATTGTAAGCAGGCGAACAGTTTCATTGAATATAGAAGAAGCTGTAGTAATTTCTTGATTTTAACTTTGCGTGAACCCGAAAAGGCTTGACAACTTTTTAAAGTCAAACGTGGTAAAATGATGTGCAAAATACATCTGTTAATTTCTTAAGCTACTTCTGAAGTGCAGGAATTTCTCTTCAACTGCCACATAAGACAACTGTTGAGAGTATAAGAATATTAACTTACACCATCCTCTTGTTCACACCCCAGGAAAATAATAACTCTTGTAAAGACCTGGTTTTGTGAAGGTTTAGTTTCTCTCTCATCTCCACCTGCAAGAAGGAAAATATCCTACTACAGTACAATTAGAGTTACTCAGTTGTTTTAGTTGATCAGGAATGGAGTTGTGCGTCTCTTACAAAAGATTTGAAACAGACAACTGAATAATTTAAGGCAGAAAGGAAACTGTAGGAGAGAACAACTGCAACAGTATCATGGGTTGACAAATTTGATGAGAAAAGACAGGTGGAAAAGCATGTGTGCAGAGAACAAGAATGCCATAAGTAAGGAAAGGATTTTATTTTTATTTTTGTAGCAGTTGGCTCCATCCATGTGTTGCTTTTCTTTACGGTATCTTGACCGTTCCATTTTGAATGACAGGTGAAAGGAGGGAAAGAAAACAGTTCATTTCTAATCATATCTTTGTGTTGTTGTTCCTATTTCTTATTTGAGGCTGGTTTAACTACTTATTTTCATCCTGGAATAAATCTGAAGAAAATCCACTCCTACAGCATCAAACTCTATGAAAAGCTGGAAGAAGAGACTGGTCAGGTAATCTCCTTAAACTTTTCGGTATTAATTCAGATCAATACTAACCTTACTAATACTCTTACAAAAAAGTTTGGAGTTGACAAGTTGTGTATGTGTGTATTCACGACTGTTGTAAGGCTCCTTTTTTATTGAAATATATTCTCCTGCCTGCATATCTATGCTATAGTCTGGTGCTTAGGCACAAAATGTTTTAGATAGTTTCCCAGATCCCTCTACAGTTTAAGAAAGTGGTTTTCTTAAAACATCTCAAACGCTCAGCTGACTGAGAGTGTGCAACTTTAGCTTGGTATAGGAATTAGAATAGCATCAAGGATCTGGAATGAATGGATTTCCTGCTTTAAACATGTCCACTTAAAAATTCATATGATATGATGCTATCTGTACTTGAGAAGATTGCTGCAATTCTTCCCATCCCTTTCAGAGGTGTGTTTTTATTTAGTGACTTAAGGAATGGGTATGCAGGGAAACACAGGAGTCATCTTTTTTTATCTGGCATCATTCTGCCATATGGATTTCATTTACTAAACTGATGCTTGTTTCAGACTATGGCAGAAATGGCATGATCCTCACTGTACTAGTCTACAAACTAGTAGTACTTGTACTAGTCTACAAACTTATTAATTGAAATAAAATGGGGTTTTTTCCTTCTTTCTGCTGCTCAGCTTAGATAAGATGCTACAGCAGATTATCATTGTGAATTCCACTAAAAGACTTATTCAGCCATATTAATGTCCTGTGACATAACATGGAAATGGTGAAGTAAGTAGTGTATACCAGAAAGTGAGCATTCCGTGTCCAGCTATACAAGAATTTCTACTTTATTAAAAATACAAAAAAAAGGTATCTGGTTGTCCATTGTGTCAATAAAGACGCTTTGTCAGTTACATTTATTCTGCAGCATCTCAAGAGAAAATTATGCAGGTGATAGACTTTAATATAAACTATTTTTTTTGAGTTGTATCTGATGCTATTTTTGAAAGTGTATGAGTGAATAAATTCAAATATTAATCAAATCTCAATAAAAATAATAGTATAATGACATTCAATATAAGCTTTTTACAACTTTTTTGAAGCTAGCATGTATTAACCTAGGTCATTAATTTTTTACCTTTTAAAAAATTTTATTTTCTCTCGTTTACATCTAAGTCCTGTTCTTAAAAGGACACTTAACTTATTTGAATCTCTTTTCAGTGACGTTAGTGGCAAGATTCCTGTAGACATCCTGCAGTATAGGAACATGCATTTATGGAGATAAGTAAAGGTTCTTTCAATGATTCACTTTTGCTCTTTGTTTTAGGCTGTGGGGTTTCATCAGCCTGGCAGCATCAGAATTGCTTCAACCCCTACTAGGGTGGATGAATTCAAATACCAAATGACTCGTGCTGGTTGGAACCCAACAGAACAGTACCTAATCACTCCTGAGAAAGTACAACAGCTATTTCCCTTATTGAACATGGATAAGGTAAAGAACTTAATTTTATGAAAAATAACATCCATTGCAGTTACATAGTGGTCTATTAGATACGCAGACGTAGAGTCTGTTTCCTTTATACAAATTGTATGAGAAATACTTGTTTTTCAGTGAAAAAAGATGCATTATAAACTAAAATTAGGTTCACGTGCATTTTAGTGCATACTGTATGCCAGTGTGCATACTCTTAATTATAATATAATTATAATATTAAAGCATTACAACCTTTGATTGCATGGGAGAATTGAGCACTTTTACCTCCTTAGACTACTGTTAAGTTGGATAGCTGTAGCCCTGATACTATTATATGTTTTGAAAGTCTGTTTTGATTTGACTCCTTAAAGTTTACTGCATTCAAGAAATAAAGCATTTTTTAAAAAATAGTTAATTTTGATACATTATAATTTCCCTCATTTTGCGGGATTTTACCTCCACTTAGGTTTTAGCTGGCCTGTATAACCCTGGAGATGGTCATATTGATCCCTACTCTCTCACTATGGCCTTGGCTGCAGGAGCCAGAAAATATGGTGCACAATTAAACTACCCCGTCCAAGTGACTAATCTGAACTCTCGATCAGATGGGACATGGGAAGTGGAAACTCCACTTGGAGTAATACGAGCAAAGAGAATTGTGAACACTGCAGGTAGGATTTCACATAAGCATTTGTATACTCTTCATATTTACAAACTAGCTGACATGGAGCATCTGTACTGAATTGTGCGGATTACAGGAATATGTAATACTCGCTTTTGAACATTCTCTTGGTTTGTGGAAAAATGTACTTTGCACATATTAATTTACAGTATTGTGAAAATTTAGCTCTTATGTTAGTTGTCTTTGACTAGGCATGAAAAATATTTCTTTCTGGTTTGTCTCCAGTGGTTACTAGTCAGACCATCTTGTTAGATTTTCATGGCAGAAGAGATCTTTACTGGGCTACAGTAAGTTGAGTAGAAGAGAGACGACTGTCTATGCATATTGTCCTCTAAAATCTTATTAAAGCTACCTAGGAAGGGATGTACAAATGAAGTAGAAATGTTTTCACTGTGTTTTCTAAGAGACTGAGGATTTGCAGCAAGTAAGATAACCCTGCCTATTTCAGTATTTCTCTAAGATTTAACTCTATCCACATATCCTTGAAACAGAAGATTTTTGTTGCCATTTGAGTAGTATTTTAACCATGCACTTAGTTTAACAATACATTTTTTAATGTAGTAAAAATTTCCTAACTCAAAGGAGCTTGTATTTACATATGAAATTTTTATTCCTCATTGTGTTAAAGAAGTCAAACTGAGGTTTCTGTTTCAAAGAGCTTTTGAGCAAGAGTCCTTTGGATTTGTGTTTGTTTTCCTAAACAAGTTGATACATCTAAAAGCCTGTATTCAATCTAAACTTCACTTATTTTTATGCTGATTTATACAAGTTATAGAAAAATACAGTATTGGTGAAAGTGTTGGCACCTCCTACATGAAGTGTGCCTTCTGCTTCCTAGCAGAAGACTTTCTGTTTTCAATTGTTTGAAAACATGCAGAATATTTACCGTTTGGATTAAATTTTTGCAGACTCTGTCTGTCTCAGACTGAATAATAGCTGCATTTTTAGGGCATGAGTCTTTCATACATCCCATCTCAGTGAATAATGAGGCTTCAGTAGGAAGCTGCAATGGCTCAAGAGGACTTTCTCTTCTTTTTGGACAAAAGGATTAGGAAGGATACTTGAGGAATGGTTGTGTGTGAAACTGAGACTGGAACCAAACTGAGGCTGCCTGAGTGGTCTGAGCATGAAAGACTGGCAGAGAAGCAAGGGAGATGTAGATGGGAGTAGATTCGAAGGAAAAGAAGGAATATGAGGCAGGATTTGATGAACGGGGGACACTGACTTGCATACAGAGACAAAATAGCTGAAGAAGGACGTAAGGACCTGAGTAAGAAAGACGAGGTGAGTTTGAGACAACAGGAAAGAAGACCAGGTATGGGACAAGCAGAGATGGGAAAGAGAGAAGATTGGGACAGAGAAAAATTTGGAGGGGATGGGATAAAAGGGCTGAACTCTGAGAGGATGAGCTTTACTGGGTGATCTTTCGTTCAGTGTCTGGGATGTGGACAGGCTTTCAGTAAAGACTAACTGGGAAACCCATTGAAAAATGTACTTTCTCATCATATGCCTCCTATACATAGGTGATCACCCACTATTGCTATAAGCCTAGCGAAAAAAGTAGGGATCTGAAGAAGTTCATCTTGAGGTTCTAAGCATGCTTAGAACATGACATTTGGGGAGAAAGAGGACTAGAAGAGTTCAGGATGCTCTACAGAAAGCAACCAACCACACAAACAGGGAAACCAAATTAAAAGAATTTCACTTAGACTGCAAAGTCAAGCACTTAGAAGATGAGAGGCATCAATATGTGATAGCTTTTGGACTGTCCGTTCATAGCTTTCAGGCATGAATTCAGGTCAGCATTCAGTTACAAAATCACAAGCTCTCTTACTAATGGGATCCTTATGTCATTTGTTACACAGTATGGTTATATTGGTCTGGGAGTGATCCAAGATTACAGAATAGAAAGGCAGCTCTTTTGGCAATTGGACTTCTTATTTAGGCCACAGATTTCTAGGCACTCATTATTTCTCACTATTGGCTCTACATCATATGGATGAAGTATCACAGATGTAGTAATTTCCTTATACTTTTGTAGCATAGTTATCTCTCTTTGGCTTGTGTATCAAGTTGACATTAGGCAGAATTTTCTAGTAAATGCTTTTCAAAGTTTATTTGCAAAAATTAGAATGCACACCTGTGAGATTTTCATAAGTCTTTTTTTATTACTAAATTATTAAACCAACAGTATATTTACTTACTTCTCTTGTGTAGTTAACTGTTCGGCCAGAATGAATATTTGAAGCACATATTGCTTAACATTCTGGCTAAGGATGTGAAATCAATACTGTATAGCACATATCTCTTATAAATGCTCTCTCAGCTAACATTCATTCTTTTCAGCCTTGCCTTATTCCGCTACAGATCATGACTGGTATAATTCAGAGCTCATATTTTAGGCTCATGTTGCAATATGAGCAGAGAAAAATGTATCAGAATACTCTCTACATTCTTTCTCCGCTCATCCCACAGCTGACATCTGCTGTGGAACTGGAACAAACTAGTTTCAACCAATTTTTAGCTGTTCCTTATGTGAGATTTCCATTTTGGAAGAAAGCAGATGCCTAATAAATAATCCCTGTCATGAATTAATTATCTGGTACTGAGCCTGCTGTAGTGATTTGCAGCCTATTTATAATGGAATGTTTGATTAAAGTCTGCAAAAATAGTGAATTTAGTTTATACAGTATGAGTAAGTATATAAGCAAATATTTGCAGACATGTACACATTGTGTTTACACCATTTATATATATGTAGTGATGGCAGATTTTCTTTTTTAAAGATATAGTCAAATTACATAGTTCAGCAGATACGCTAAGGACTACCACCACTAAATACTTCAGCATCAGATGTTTGCAGTCTCTACAATTTAATCTTCACAAATGTCCTAGAGGTATAATTTATGCCTTCGTTTATCTCTGCTATGTGTGATAGGACTTGACATCTGCTTCTAATTAGAATTTTGTTTCAGAGAACATGTTATTCCTTTTGCCATTTTTGTGTTTGTAATGGCTTTTGCACAGGGTTCAAAAACTTTAAACAAAGGAACTGTAATATTTTTTGTTTAGTAAATGTCAGCTGTTGTTATTCTAAGCAATTAAATAAATACTTATAAGTTTGATATTTTTAGAAGTGCAATATTTAAGATTTGATTTTGAGCAAACCTAAACTATTTGCCTTTAATTCAAAAGCAATTTAAAATCAGCTGAGTTTGTAATGTAAACTTAATGGCTAAGAAATGTACTATTATTTTGAAAGAAACAAAATTAAGTTTCAAAGATCTAAAATTAAGTGTACCATTTTTATTTCCTTTAAGGAGCTTGAATATGCTTGCTCTCTGTATTTTCCCACTGAATTTTTTTTAATGAATAAGCAAAATTGTGAATTTACTAGAAGCATATTCCTAGAACATTTTTTTTTTCCAAATATCTCTTTAAGTCCAAGTAATTTTGGCAAGAAAACATTGCATTATAATTGAGATGGAATTTTCTGCTACGTCACCTTTCTTTCTCCTCTGTGGATCATTAGCTGAAGTTACCTTAAAATAGTTCTCTTTGTAGGTGACATGGAAATACCCAAATCAAAAGAAGTTCCCTAATTATTTTTAGCCTCCATTCGAATCCACATTTGTATTTGTCATGTGTAATGGACAAAAACCTTGCAGATGTACTAGAAAATAATATTTATTAGAATTTTTTGTTGTTTTTCATATAAGGGAGCATAAAACAGGTTTCACTAGCCTTAAAGGATCTTCCGTGAACCAATTTAACTGACTTAACAAGTGTTCTGTCCATGAATCTCCTCCTCCAAGTGGTGAGGATGCCATTAGGAAGCAAAAGCCTTACTTACGATAAAGGCAGAACAACAGATACTGGGTTTTAGTATTTACTGGGCAGGCGCTTTTAACTGAACAGATCTCTCTGTCATGGTCCTGGATTTCCTGCTCCTTTCCTTTACTAGCTCTCAGCAATTGTCAAGAGAGTCACCACAGAAAATATTTTCCTCGTAAACCTTCCATTTTTAAACACTGTGGGTGTTAGACACTGGGGCTGGTTTGTGATACTGAAGAGGACACTGACAGCCCTCCTGGTCTGGGGAAATGGCACAGGGCCAGCACAGCCCAGCTCAGCTTTCCTAATTGCTGTGGCTTCAGGCCATGCCAGAGATAAGAAGATGTACCCCAGGTAAATGTCAGCAAGCAGCACGTGCAGTTGCTCCCACAGGACAGGGAGCCAGGCGTGGTAACCAGGCTGCAGGGCAGGGAACGAGCCAGCAAGGGCTCCGTCCTGTAGAGCACAGGAGAGGGAGCAGGGCAGGCCTGGGGCCAGCAGCAGGGGTCAGCCCACAGTCCAGATCTCCAGACGAGCTGCTGGGGATGAGGCACTGGTAGATCCATAGGGATGAAGCCAGGCTGAGGCCAAGGCTGGAAGTCAATCTGCGGATCAGGAACAGGTCTGCTGACAGTAACGTGGGTGAGATCCTGCCCAGAGATCACCAGGCAGGTCTGTAGAGATGAGACTGGGCTGAGGTCAAGCTGGCAAGTAGTCCACGTATCAGGGTCTGGATCAATGAAGTCCATGGCCAGGCACAGGCAGGGCTGTAACAGAGCCATAAACAGGCACACCTACCATCAGTCCATCTCAGACAGGTCCTGAAGGCCCTGAGCAGACCTGAAATGGGGCTCCTGGGCCCACGGGCAGGGGTGTGGGTGGGAGTCCCAGGTGAGGCTGCCCAGGACCACTAGTGACTGTGAGAGCTCTCAGCGCCCTGAGGACACAATTTTGACCAGATCTTGGAGAGTATGGAATTGAAGAGAGAGGTAGGAGCATCTGGGTAAGACAAGTAAGCAGCAAAAAGGGAGAAAAGTTGTGTGTCAAGCTGGGTGTCATAAGTGTAAGTCCAGGAGAAGGGGCAGATACGTTAGGTATCAAATCTTGGTGGAGGTAGTTTTTCATAAACAGTTTGGAGTCAGCTGGTTACACAGGAACCAGGCTGACCTGCCTTCTTTTGCTGGGTGCTATATATAGCATATAGCCTTTTATTTGAAAGGCCCTGCTACCTCTTCTTCCTCTTCCAGTTTGCTTTCCCCCAGCTCTCATTCCTAGACTTCCCTGGAACTCCTGCTTCATTGGATTTTCCACCTTCATTTCTCCTTCTAAGACCTCCACTCCTTGATCCAAACAGTCAGGAGAGCTGGGCTGAGCAATATTACAAGCTTCTGAGAGCAGCTGCCATCCCAGTCAGTTATATGTGTCTGATTCCTGGGTCTGTATTTTCCAACTTCATAGTGCATGTGAGCCATGATACAGAGCCTGAACTAGTAAGTTTAGCAGTTAAGTGGCTTTCACTTCTTGACTTTGACACAGCTACCTCACTGAGTAAATGTGTCTTACAAGCTGGAAACAGCTAGTCTGGAGGGACCTTAAGAAAGGAGAATTAGGTCATCTTTATATACATGAAGAGCCTGAATATGCTTCAGGGGCAGGGAGATTGTTGCTTGCTTTTTCTGGTCACAGTCTGTATCAGAACATTTTTCTAGACGAGTATGAGAGAGCATGCTGACTACTCACCAATACAAACATCACAATGAATTGACTGCTATGTGAAAGACATAATTAATGTGAGTCACATGATGCATATGAAAGAGGAGAGGAACTTAAATTCTTAAGGTTAGCTGGCTGAAAGTACAGCCTTACTTTGTTGGAGTGTTAGGACTTGACTACTGTCTTGGGAAAACATACTAGCTTATTGGTTGATAGTAAGAGGCTAGGTTAACACCTATGGTGTGAGCTAATTTATTCTGATTTTTAAGTATCTTTGACTTTGCTAGGACTGCATTGCCGACCTACTTTACTTAAATAAACCATGGAACTTGTGTGACTGTTACTTAAACTCTCTTCTGAATGTTTAGAAGCCTAATTTCTATTTTTCCAATTCTGTTTTTTAATATCTGTATACTAGAATAATACATGCTAGTATAATTAGGAACAAGGACATGGAACTATGGAGGCAAAACTGTGCTGGATAATATGAAAAACAATTTGAAAATTGAAAATATGAAAAAAAAAATTTTGACACATTCCATAAAGCGCAGTGCTTTCTGCAGATGTTTTACGGTTATTTTCCATTAATTGAAATTACTCTTCAAATATTTCTATTTTGGTTTTTGTCTTCTCCAGGCTTCTGGGCCCGTGAAATAGGCAAGATGATTGGCCTGCAGCACCCTCTCATACCCGTTCATCATCAGTATGTTGTGACATCAACAGTCCCTGAAGTGAAAGCCCTAAAAACAGAATTGCCTGTGATTCGTGACTTAGAAGGATCATATTATCTAAGGCAAGAAAGGGATGGTCTTTTATTTGGTCCATATGAAAGTGAGGAGAAGATGAAGCTACAGGACTCATGGGTAACAAATGGAGTTCCACCAGGTAGTTAAGAACATTAAATGTTTAAACTTGATAAGCACTAGCACACATTTTGATGTGTATAAATGCCAGCCTGTCATGCTGCCTTGTGTGATGGAAAACATAAAGTATTTGCAATGTGTGGTTGTAATGCAGAAAATATTTTTCAAAGAATGGTAAGAGTATCATAAAAAAAGCCTTTTTCAAATAGGCATGAAAAATACGTCTACAACATACTTTTACCCTGCTCTCTGAACAGGTCTGTGTGTGTTGTGATTAGATGCAGTCACCAAATCTGTGTTATGTAGCCTTTGCAACTGAATAGGGGTTTTTCTAGGCTACGGTTCTCTCCAGAATAGTGACAAGGACTTTGGATTTTTGCTGTTCCCACAGAGATAATGTGGTTGTCAAATAGGAACACAGGTACAGCAAAGGGATGTCTTAGACAAAACACTGTGCTCAGCTATAAGTGCAAGTCAGCTGTGGATTTGTAGAGAATTTTTGTACCAAAAAAATCCCAACCATATAATACGGCTGCTTATTAAAAAAAAATTATTATGTTATACCTAGGCTTCAGCTTTCCATTCAGTTCTAGACAGAAAGTTACATTAAGTCAATAGTGTTTTAAAAAAACATGTTTCCTAAGGAAGAGCAATCAGCATTGTTGGGCTTTGGATTGCACTGTCACAGTTTCCTGAACTTACTGTCGCCAGTAGTGTCAAGTCCCTCTACAGAGTTCAATAGTGCTTAGAGCCCAGACTGGTGGCTGTAATACATCCAGGAATTCACTAAACACCATAGAAATCATAATCTGACACAGGCAATATTTTCTCCCCCTCCCCAAATTGTTGGCATCTTGAGAAAAATAAGTGGCTCTTACTAACATAGGGGGAAGTTTCTCTGTTTCTCTGCTTCCTTTCTAGTTTGTTGTTGAATTTGCATGACCTTAGGGTTAAACAAATATGTATAAAGGACAGTGTAACCGCAGTGATAATAAACTTGATCCTGCAGGTAAATAGGGATTTATGCACACCATTTTTCTTCTGTAGGATGGCAAAGGCTTGAACATATTCACTGATGAATTCCATTTAACTTTTATATATGTAGATTGCGTAACTGTATTTAAAATGTAAGTATTTTCGCTGTAATTAAGTATATAACAAGAGTCAAATATTTGTGCAGGTTTTGGAAAAGAACTTTTTGAGTCTGATTTAGACAGAATAATGGAGCATATTGAGGCTGCTATGGAAATGGTGCCAGTTCTGAAAAATGCAGACATCGTAAACACAGTTGCAGGTCCTATCACCTATTCTCCAGACATTCTTCCTATGGTGGGACCACATCAGGGTGTCAGAAATTACTGGGTAGCTATTGGTTTTGGGTGAGTAAATTATTCATGACAATTTTTGTCTGTCGTATTGTTAAAATGGCAGTCAGCTCAAGTTTTGCAAATTTTTGTGGGCTTGGGGGCTGTTTAGCACATATTTTATGTGAATGTAATTGAAAATCGTCTCAATGTCTCAATTACCACTACCTATATAGTACAAGATCTCTGTTACTTCTTCTTCATAAGTCTCACTATTTTATCAGTTTGCTTCCTTCTTTTGCTCTGGAGGCCAATATCTGTGGCACTTCATGAAGCAGCAAGAAATGGGTAGTTACTTGGTACTGTCTGTGAAGCAAGTTAAAGTCATAAAAGTGATGTGTTTTACAATATACTTTCCAGCTCATTTTGTGTATTGTTTTGAATTACGTTGTGTTCAACAATTGTTTGGTGTATGAGGAGACTGGTGTCACTGAAGTTGTGGCAAGGATGATTGGTACAGGGAGGATTTCTGATATGAAGTATTAACTTTCGGGTGGAGTAGAAAGCATACTAAGCAGGAGATGCTGCCAGCACACTGTGAGACTGACCACTCTAGGGATACAATCATTCTGACTGTTGAAGGTTGAGCTGAGAAATGATGTTGATGGATGTTGGAGGAAAGCAAATCAAGGCAGTATGACAACAGGAATGGATGTTTTACTGGTGTCTTTTATTCTCTCCTGCCCATTATGATATTTTCTTTGAATGTGACTTACATCTTACATACTCTTGCCTCACTGAAGTCAGTGGTGAAACTTACTAACTTCTGTCTAATTGACTAGTCTGACCATTGATTCAAGATGGATAGAATTAACTGAATACAATTCCAGGGACATGTTACTGAACACATTCTGTTTACATTGTTTTTCCAATTGCCTAACTCGATGTTCAAAATCCAGCTCAGTTTTTTCCAGTTTTCCTTCAGTCCAAACCAAACAAACCCTCAGATCATAAGATAAGGCAGTACTACTAACATGCTTTCCAAGGCCCTCAAAATAAAGAGGTTTGGTAGTTTTGCAATGATTCATTGTGAAAGGTATTCACCTTTGCTGCTTGGATTTAAAAAAAAAAACAATATTGTTATCTTCTAGCAACATTTGCAGAACGTATAGTTACAAAAGTGTTTTGGCTGGTACTTGTTCACCAAAAAGACTGTTTAAGTTCATGACTGTGCTGCCAGACTTTAGAGTCTGTTTGCCTTCATTGGTGCCAATGGAAGCAGAATCAAAGTTCCATATAGGAATAACTGAAGGCCAATGTTGTATGTTTAAGTTTCTTTAAACAACTGATTTCAGGAATTTGATTAATCTCTAAAAGTTTAGACACAGGTCGCAATTATGCTGCTGTCATTGGATTACTTTGTCTGTTTTTCAGGGACTTTTGACTCTGTTCTATGCTTGTGGGTCACTGCAGTGTTTCTACTAGTGTTGTAATTTTTTGTGTGTATTAGCAAATCCTTATCTCATAGTCAACTAGCAGGGACATTGTGACAGAGTACTTAGTGCTGTCACTTTAGAGGATTTTTATTATCTAAAATTGGCAGCTTACTAGGCATTTTAATGTGCAAAGAAGTTAACAAGTATAGTTAGCAGAGCTTGCAGCACTGTTTATTATTTAGGTTGCTCAACACTTCCCATTTAAGACTGTTTTCAGTTACTCACAGCTTTGACAATCTCAGGAAGAGTAGTCTAGAATTTTATTCAGAGAAGTTTAAGTCAGAGAAGTGTAGTCATTCCAGTTAAGGTTTTTGGGGTGAAGTCTTTATTTTGAAAAGCTCTAATTTCCCCATTTTGTGAGAATGAACTTCACCTTTGTCAGAAGTGACCGTTCTCCTAAAGATAAGCCTTTCTTCCGTTCTTCCCAAGGTCTATCCATGAAACCCATTCACAAGCCTTTATAAATGTTACAGCTCAGGAACACTTAATAGACACTCACTACATCTTTCACCAAGATTCCTGGATTCTATCTACAGTAGTATTCCACTGCCAGAGACTGAACAGGAGTTTTCCTTCAGAAATGGGATAGAAAAATGGCTAAACCTTGGACAAAAACACTAGAAAGGGACCATGGTGTGCAAGGACTCAAATTTCCTAGGAAAAAGGAGTGGAATAAGTAGAAAATTGATGAGCAGCAAGGACTCGTAAACAAGTAAAACACAAGAATAGGGCAAGGACAACAGGGAAGATAATCTGTCAGGGATGGGAAAGAACAGAGAAGGGCAGTCTGTGTTCATTAAGGAAATTTTCTTTAAATCCTTGTACAAAGACCAAGATTCCTAAACTGTACCGCTCTTTACAGCTACTTGTAACATCTCATCCCCACACCCTGCATAATTTTAAATCTCTGATAATGTAGGCCCAGCTAGGAGCACCAAAATAGACTGACTGCACAGAATCAGTGCTGCAAAGCTCCACAGAGTTCAGAGACCAGTCTGGCCACATGCAGTGCTGTACCTGCAGCAAGCCCACATCACAGGGCTGGTTTGCCCCTGGGGTTACCCTGCCATCAGCTCAGCGGTCTTCAGCTGAAGCTAAAAAACTTAATTGTATTTTGTTGGTTCCTATCCACAGTCATGCAGTAGTCCCTGTGCTGTGTTCCCCTGTGCTTTTCGCTGCAGTGAATGGTGCAGGCAGTGTAAAAGTTCTTCTGAAGCTGTTCTTGAAGGCAATTTAGCCATCGTCACAGAACTTACACCCATGAATAGCTAAGAGTTGCCTAATTAAAGTAACCCCAGCAATGGCTAGGTCTTCTGTAGTACTTTTCAGAGTGGCAGTTTACAAGCTCTCTTCCTTACTGCATCAACTGTGGTGATACAAGCTTGTGCTGAGAATCTGAATATTTATGCTGAACAGCCTAAAGGAGTGTATTTGGCAGAATTAGTTCACGTATTCAGCTGTTTGATATTTCTGTTTTATTTAAAGAAGTAAATAAATTGCAGATAAAACCGCACTATATCAAAGTAATTTCATGAATAATATTAAGTCAGACATTCTACAGTTAGGAAGTGACAGAACTAAGTTGTCTGTGTAATCTGAATTCATTCTTCTTATGCATATGCATTAGAATTAGATTATTACATCCTTTTTTTCCCTCAAGATCCTTGCCTATTTAATTGAGGGTATAGAATTCAGAATGCAAAGTTAATGAACAGCAATTCAGTTTTGTTTTAGCTTCACTATTCAGTATGAGTGTCTGCTGCATGTTAATTTAAACTTGGTTTTGGACAGACTATTTCTTCTAAGATTTTTCTGTTGTGCTTATTGGAGCATTTCACAAACAACTAAATTTATATTCATATCTTCTCTAGCCAGGAGGCTATTTTGACACGTTTTTTTAAAGACATGGCAAACTAATTCACAGAGGTATTAAAAGAAAAAAGTTTTAAATCATTCAGTACTAACAGTTATTTGTTATTAAATGTTTTGGTGTCAAATCTGAGGTGCCTGTAATTCAGCATTATGTAGTACTGTTTGGTCATATGTAGACTGAGTAGTGACAGACACATATTGCAGCACAGCGAAGACCCATGTCTGTGGTCGTCTACTTCAGGTACCTCGCAGGAGCACATTTCACACACAGCTTTTTCCCTATGGATGTCAAGATGTCAAGCATTTTGAAAGTTAAAATTATGTACAAAATATTTATGTAAGGAAACCTTACATGTATCACTTCATAACTTTTGTGCATCTACCCTTGCTGTCTGGTGTGGTTCATTTAATGCAGGTTTCTAACAAGAGATCTCCTCTGCAGTCTGATCCTTCACACGCTTATTATGTAGAAACAGGACAGGCTTTTGCTACAGACTAGTAGCAGAAAATTTCTATGTGTTGTTACCATAAGCTTTCTGGAACCAGTTGTCTTTCTAGTTGTGGAGAACAGAGAAGGTAAATCGCATGAGAAAAAGCAGCTTTCAACTCTGGCACCAATGCAAACAAGCCTTCTAGTTTTATCTACATTCCCTGATACTTTAAAGCTGTCTCGGTAGTGCTGTCTCCTGACTTGCTGATGTTGCTGTTGTCACTGTAATGTAAATATTCACTGTAGCTGCTAGAATGTCTCAGTCTGGTTTTCAAATCTGAGTCCAGTTTAATCAAATCTGATTGAAAAAGAAGAGGTATTCTATGACTAGAAAGTGTATTTAATACATATCAGAAGTTTGAGAACTTTCTTTAGTATAATTGTTGAAGACTTCTAATGTCACTGGAAAAGATTGTTAAATTCTGAACTTGAAAGAAAGAGCTTGCTGTAGTCTCAAGCACTGCAAATGCTGAACGTTAGCAATGGAGCTTTGCTGCTGACAGTGGGGCAGTAGAAATATCTGTCAATAAAGCATGTAATCTTGGAAAACAAGACAGAATAGAACAAATGAAAAAAAGACCCAGAGGGAAAAATTTAGAATACTTTAGGGAGTATATTAGTAGTACTAGTACTACTAGTACTGATTTTTAAAAACAAACTAAAAAAGACTTGGCACTGTGGGACTTTTTCCTGTTTTTAAGGTATGGCATTATACATGCTGGTGGCATAGGAAAGTACATCAGTGACTGGATCCTTGAGGGGGAACCTCCATTTGACCTGATAGAGTTAGATCCCAACCGGTATGGAAAGTGGACCACCACAGAATACACTGCAGCCAAAGCAAGAGAATCTTATGGTTTTAATAACATTGGTAAGAAGGTATTTTTTAAAATACATTTATATCCTGAAAATGGATTCCAGCAAAGCCTGCCTCTAAATTTTTTCTGTTTATATATATGTATTTTTATGTATATA